GAGACAAAGCTTACTATTTCCTGGTTGGGGCACCCTTTTTTTCTGCTTCTTGCCTTGAATAAGGATATATTTGGAACTTCAATAGCTGTTTGCAACCACCAGGCATAAGCATGAGAGGAAAACGAACACTCAGACACCCTGACATCATCTAGTGGCTAAATCAGTTCGACCAGCTACCTACCTCTAGACCTTCTCTATGTGAGAATAAACGCCTTATATACTGTGTAAAGGTTTTCTACTACTTGTACTCAAAAGCATTCCTATTGATAATCTATTTTTAAGGTGGTGCTTATGAGGACAGCTCCCCTATACACCTTTTCCTCCTTTGAACTTTACTGATAGTTTTTTTTTTAAAGATTTTATTAATTTGAGAGAGCGAGAGAGAGAGAGAGAGCACGAGTCGGGGGGAGGTGGAGGGGAAGAGGGAGAGGCAGGCTCCCTGATGAGCAGGGAGCCCAGCGCTGGGCTCCATCCCAGGATCCCAGGACCCCAGGATTACGACCTGAGCTGAAGGCAGACGCTTAACCGAATGAGCCACCCAGATGCCCCATGAACTTGACTGATAAACTTCTGATGATACTATGAAAATTAATAAAGGGAAGTCTCATTTGAAATGTAGTCGGCAAGCCTGTAGGGGGACCTGTCACTCACGAACTTTCCGTCTAGCTTACCCCACACTAATGGACCGGAAGAAGTTCACATTACTATCCCAGCAGAAAGAAGGTTATCTCCTTGCCCAGCAACCACCCAGCCAAGAAGAAACTGCCACAACCTCAGCCAATGAGGAACCACCAACACCTTCAACTCTTCACTTTCCTCCAACAGTCTTTTGTTCCAAGCAGCTCCTCTCCTTTGTTCTCCAGACTGGCTTATGGTTTGCCACAGCCTGCCTGTCCTGAATTGCAATTCCTCTGTTCCCAAAGAGACTCATTTGGCTGGTAAAATAATGGGCTCTTTTTGTTTTTTAAGGTCAATGGTCAGTTACCACTCTCTACCATTAATGGGAGGCTCATTTTGATTTGCAGCTCTCACCTCAATGCTTAGTATACAAGAAGTGTAATACTCAAATATTTAATGAAGAAAGGAGTTCTGATACTCAATTTGGTAAGCATTTGGGCATTATTTTTGCTTTTTCTCATATTTTACATTATTTTTTTTTTTTAAAGATTTTATTTATTTATTTGAGAGAGAGAGAATGAGAGATAGAGAGCACGAGAGGGGAGAGGGTCAGAGGGAGAAGCAGACTCTCTGCTGAGCAGGGAGCCCGATGCGGGACTCGATCCCGGGACTCCAGGATCATGACCTGAGCCGAAGGCAGTCGCTTAACCAACTGAGCCACCCAGGCGCCCTCATATTTTACATTATTTTTAACCTATAAGAGGAGAAATGGCTGATAAAAATTACTTCTGAATACAATTTCCTCTTACTTTTTAACAAATAATTATAAACATACTGCATAGTTACTGTGCTAAGCACTAGGGATAGATCAAACAACAGAATTTCTGCTTTCAAGGAATGAATGGCAGACACAAGTAAACCTACAATGACAATAGTGTTTGATACGTGTAATAATAAATCTGAGAGCACAGTGCTTCCTCAACATCCACTTACTTTCCACTTCATCCAGAAACTGGCTGTCAGGCATGGCACGAATCACCTCAACTTCCCATCCTTTCCCATCTTCACCTCCTTCACCCACTGATGAAAAAGTGTCCCTTCTCCTGTCCCAAGACCAGCTGTGCTCTCAGACACAGCACTTCTCACCTCTTGTGGGGTCTTGCTCTAGCAGTTATCCAAACACCCCTATTATGTTAACCAGAGAGTTCCTGGGGTGATGGGTTGGTTTACACTGACTGTGGCTGTTTACTTCTTTCTGATTCACTTCTCAACCCCCACAATCCAGGTTTTGCCTTAACCACCACACTAACACTGCTCTGGTAAATGTCCCTAGAGATCTCCGTACTGCTGACACCAGGGACCACATTTCCATCTTAATTTATTGGACCTCGCTAAAGCAAGTGCCCCTGACCACAACCACTTTCCCAAAACACGGGACAATCTGGACTTCTGTGACACTACTCTCATTGCTTGTTCTCTTCTCGTTTTTAGACACTATGGTGTTATCCAAGTGTGGGCCAGGGGCCAGTGGGGGATCTGAGACCTTTCAGGGGATCCATCAGGAAAACTGTTTTCACAATACCAAGAAGACACTTGCCTGTTACTCTCATTTTCTTATGCGTGTACAGTGGAATTTCCCAGAGGCTAAATGACATGTGATATAGCAACAGGCCATAGGCAGACACAAATACAAGAATCTACCCTTCTTTCATTAAGTCAAACATTAAAGAGATTTGCAAAAATGTCGAACAATGTCACTCTTGTCACTAATTTAATGGTTACTTTTCATAAAAATGTTATTTATGTTAGTATGTAATGGCTTTACTGGCTGCCTGTCAGCTAAGAATAAAGTCCAAGTTCCTTAGCATGGTGCCTAGGCCCCTGAGTATGTGGTCTTTTTCACCCTCAGTCTCATCCTGTCACCCTTGAATCACACTTAACTCTCCAGCAATTAAATAATCTTCTACTGTTTGTTGTTATTGGAGTGTACTATGCTGCTTCATGCCTTTGACCCAATGTCATCTTCTGGGAAGTATTCTTGATTTCACCCCTGTGCATGCCCATCACAGCACTTAACACAGTTTGTGAAAATGGTTTCTATAACCGTCCCACAGAGGTTAAAAAAGCCATTGATAGTAGGTGCTTTGCTGAACCCGAAGCTCTTATCTTTCTATCTCCAGGTTTTGGTACGACACAGGGCAAATTAGTCTTCAGACATGTTTTTGGAAGCACTGAAGTAAAATGACACTTAAGACCTGCTTGGATGGAGGTTGGGGTTGTGAATGAGGAGAGTTAGGAAAACCTTTGTCCTGAGAAGGTCATGATTGAACTGAATCTCAAAAGAGGATGAAATCAAGACAAGAGTGTTTAAAGGGCATTGCCCAATAGAGAGAACTTCACAAGGGGGAAGGGGCTGTCTTTGAAATTCACAAGACATAGCCTTAATACAGAAGGACATTACTTTTTAACAAGTTTACTATCTTAGAGATCATACCAGTGGAAGTCTCAGGTTTTAGGTCCATGATTTCAAGAAAGTGTAAAATGATTATTAGATTCCTATAGTTAATACATTTACACATGTATAATAAATTCAGTTCAAAAGCATTACTCAAAGTATAATTTGAACAATTATTTTTCTAAATGTATATTACCTTACAGTGGACACAGAAACTCATTTCCAATTTTCTGCTCACCAGGTACAATTCGAATGGTTTTCCTGCAGTTTACCCCTGTTGACTTGGCATTTATCCACTTGATAAAAATTTTGCCTCAAATGTGGATTTCACCACCTGGCTCATAAATCATTTCCAAATGGATTTTTAGTAATGTAAGAGTCCTCAGAGATTACCTAGTCCAACAAGCTATTTTTGTAAGCAAGAAAATTGAGTGACTTGTTGAAGATGACATATTCTCTGAGGACTCCTCCTTGACTTTTCTATGATGTGCTTTCATATCTACCCTATCCCTCCCTTCAGTGTATGACCTGTGTGCTGATTCCCAGTTCTTGTTCATTCTCAGTAAATATAAATGACAAAATACCTTCTTCCAGACTGCAAATAACTGGTTTCCACTTATTCATTTGCATATTTTGTAGCTTTCTTCAACAGACTTGGTGAAGTTCTTGGTGCTAAGTACTTGGCTAATTTTTTGTTAAAATTCCACCAGTATCCCTAATGTTTACAAACTTCACCTTCCAAAGTCATTAAGTAAAATCATGCTCTCCCGTGAAATGGTTCTTTAAACCATTTGACTGGTCTCACTGGTAGGACCCAGATGTTGTTCTCAAATTTACAGGATGAATACCTTTTCTACTAAAAATTAGATAGTCACTGCTTGAGAGGTTTGGTATTCTTCCCATAACCAATGTTGTAATGGGTCTACTTATCATAGGGCCCGCCAACTCATATACCCACTGGGAGGGTGGCGCCTATCTGACCAGACTGTCTCCTAGGACACTCTTAGGCTGGCCAGTCACCCAAAGTGAGACCTGGCATAAATATGGCTCGAACTCTGAGATGATCAGGTAGTTAGCAGGAAACACCAAATCTGAAAGGATGCAGAGAGAAAATCATTAAGATATATACAGTAACGATGGGTCAGAAGTTATAAGGAAGCAAAAAAGCAAGCAGAGGCTGTGAGGTAGATGAAAGACACATGAAGTGAATAAGGGACTCAGGAGCAAATATGAGAAAGGGGCAGGCATGGAGAAAGTTGTGTGCTACACTGAGGGATGCAACTTTAGACTCTCATTCTCCTGCTGCAAAGATGCTTTAAGCTGTATCCCCATCTGATGAGGCCAAGATAAACGTTTCGTATCCCAGAAGTTTGTGAGAGTTTTTTTCCTTTACAGCTCCTCGAATCTCCTTATAAACCCTGTCCTTGCCTCATGCCCTCCTCAAAGCCAGTGCCCTAAGTAGAAAGGATTTGATTCTTGCAACCAAAAGAGGTAGTTAAGGCACCTAGGACATTAGAGTGGCTAGAGCGAGGCTTCAGCTTTTGGACATGTGTTACTGGCTGCTCACTTCCACTATAGACTCTTGCAATCCTAGGGGAAGTTCTAGGTATGCGACAAACGGGTCCTAGCTTGACCACCTGCAGCTTCCACGTCCACTCTTCTCATGGCAGAAACACACCAGTAACCACGCGCCCAGAGAACCACGGTATTCGACTTGGGGGAAAACATCACAAGACTTGAACCTCTTCGATACAACGAAGGGCAAGCCCACCCTTGCTTTTCCCCCGAGGTTTCAGAGAGCCACGCTGGTCCGCAGGGGCACGCTTTTCCGCGGCGGAGCCTTTGCATCCCCCTCCCGAAGCTGCCGGCGCGGGACAGGAGCTCCCCGCACCCCGGACCTCCCGGCCCCCGCCGCCCGCCGGGTCACCTGTAATTGTAGGCGCTGAAATACTTGCTCTCTCTCAGCATCGCCCGGTACAGATCTAACACTTGTGCGCGGCTGGAGGCTGCCATTTTGGAAAGAAAAAAAAAATAAATGGGTCCTCTTCGAGAAGGTCCCGAGTTTAACCTAACTCACGAAACTTCAGTCTGTGCAAAACCACGAACGAAATAAAATAAAATGCGGTGGGGCTCGGTCTTGCTAGCGGCCCGGGCCTAGGCCTGGGTGAGCACCGGCCCGCGCCTCGGGGCGCTGGGCGTCGCGCGCCGCTTCGGAGGCGGGCGCAGGCGGGCGCAGGCAAGCTTCGGGCAGCTTAAGGGGGAGGTGCCGACACGGAGGCGTTCCCGTCCTCTGCCGGCGCCTCGAGGCACCGGCGTACAACAGCCCTACCAGCGGGCTGAGGCGGGAACGGGGAACGGCCGCAGGGAAAGGGCTGAGCCTGTGGAGGGACGCAGGCCGGAGGCTGAAGCACGGAGTGCGTGCAGCCAGTCTAGGAGCGCCTTCGCGAACGGCCTAGGGTCGTGGCGGGGATATGTAGTGTCACACCGCAGCGCCTAGTCGCATCTCCGCGAGGTCCGAGGTCGCGTTGCCAGGGTGACCGAGCGCGCCGCAGGTCGACGCTCCGCCCCTGGCCGCAGATGACCCGCCCCTTGCGCCGGGCCGCCCTCCGCGCTGCCTGAGAGGCCGAGCGGGGTTTCCAGGGGGCCTTTACTTTACCGCGCTCTGTCTGTGGGCCCCCAGTGCAGGGCGCTTTCTGGAGCGCAGGGACTGGATGCGGGGGGCGCAGAGGCGATGGGTGAGGGACTCCCTGGTGCTCCGGCTCCGCTCGGGGCGACCGGCTAAGGGCCTCGGGAGCAAGGACCCCTTTCTTGTCAAAATGGCAGCGCCCAGCGTGCTGTGGGGGTATCTTTAAGGGAGGGGGGGCGGGAGATAAGAGCCTTCCCCAGGAGACTAGGCAGCGTGCCGCACTTCAGATTTGAAACACCCCGGTTTGGGTCTCCTGGGCGAGCGGTGGGTAAGTGCCGGCCTCGCTGCGGCGTGGGGTGCGACGTGGGCGGTCAGTGCTGGTGGTGGGGAGTTACTTGGCCACGGGATTTCCCCCCTTTCGGGTGTTCTTTGAGCTCTCGAGGTTTTACTTTTGAGTTTTCAGACCCAAAGAGTTTTGTCATCTAATGTATACAAAAGGTGGGGTGGCGTGGGTAATTAATTGGGATAAACCTCAGGGATTTAAGGACTCTCTTGGGCTCTTTCAGACCCAAAGCAAGAAGTTAAGCAAGTTTTCTCTTGAAGATCTTCATGGCTAAGTTTTCTCTCTTGGTCTTTCTCTGAAGACGTCAGCTTTTCAGAATCACCTTGTTACAGTGGTGAATAAAGTTGGTCGTTGTGGTCCCTGAGCGCAGGACTGGGCGTAGAGAAGCCTGAGCTAGTTCTCCTTACTGTGTTTGCAAAGCATCTGCCTCGTTTTGGGACTCTTTCTGTCTATAGTCAACTTTAGGAAGAGCCACAGTTTTCTTGCTCAAAACACAGCTAGGAGTAACTTTAGACGTAAAAAACAAGTTTGCCTCAACATCCATCTTTCTTCAACCACTGAGTTGTGGTTGTATTTCATATCTTTAAGTTTACCTGGCTTTAAAATGACACTTGCTTTATATCAAAATCTCGTATTTTCTGAACTTTAGGGGCAGGAAACACTTTTCTGATCTTGCTGCACTTTAGTGTACTTGCAACGTGGTGTCCTTGCACCCAGATATGCTTGTTAATATTACTCGTTATAATGCAATCTCATTTTAAAAAAATGCATGGAAGAGAACATCCTTTTTTTAAATAAGATTTTATTTATTTATTTGGAGAAGGCGAGAGCGAGCGAGATCACAGAGGGAGAAAGAAGCAGACTCGCTGCTGAGCGGACAGCCCGGCTCATTGCTGAGCCGAGAGCCCCACTCCCTGCTGGAACCCAGGATCCCGAGATCATGACCTGAGTTGAAGGCAGATGCTTAACCCACTTAGCCACCCAGGCGCCCCAAGAGAACATACTTTCATTAAAATCTTTTTAAGCTTCCTTTTTTTTTTTTTAAAGGTCACCCACATCTATGAGTATCAAAACAGTTTTCTCCAGGGTATTTGAACTTCTGCACTCTTGCAGGTTGATCAGGTCATTGGGCAAGTCTTACCTCAGGATTATTGAAAGAGATTTTAATATTTTCAGTTTTCCTTGGCATTAAAGGTTCAAGACCAAGGGAATTGCACATTATTACAGAGTAAGATCTAGAGCCATTTTCTTTTAATATTTTACATGAGTGCTAATGATATAAAATGCGGCACCTAGGAAAACTACAGTATTCATGCAAGTTAAAAATAAAGAAAGCTATCAAGGTAAAAGAAAAAAACATGAAAGTTACATTGGTTTGTTTAAAAAGTGGGGTGCCTGGCTGGCTCAGTCATAGAGCATGCAATTCTTGATCTCAGGTTGGTGAATTCTAGATCTCAGGTTGGCTGTAGAGATTACTTAAATAAATAAACTTAAAAAAAATAAAAATAGTAGGGCTTGCATTATTATATTTTGCTATCATCTACAAAATGAAGTTGGAGTAATGATTACTGTATACAATTGTTCATGTCTAATTATTGCACAATTTAATCATTAATGTGTATAATTAATGTATCTAAATGACCTTAACTTTGTTAATAATCAAATAAAGCTTTTCAAATAAATATATAAAGTTTAGTTTGTTTGGGTAGCCTAGTCATCTGTTAGTACAAAGAGTAGTTGAGATTAGGAAAGTGATAGTGTCCCAGTAGATTCTAAGCTAAGTCCTCACAAAAATACTTTTATTGTATTTAAAATAATATACCAGTATCTTGGATATCATTGCCTTGAACACCTAATAAAAAAAAAAAAACCACATTGCAAAGCTAAATCTCTATTTTTGTACATCTTTATTGCAGAGATGACTGTTTTCAATAATAGCTCTATCTGAGGTTGGAACTGGAATTGGGCCAGTACCTGAGGATTACTTACTTACTTATATGTCCTTTAATATGCATCTATTCTGGGCTGAGTATTGTATTAGGTACTGACTATAAGCTAGTGGTACCCACCTACTACCATCTAGGCCTCAAAATGTAAAAATTGCCTTAGTATTCACCTATCCATAGTTAAGAAATACTAATAGTTCTTTACCTATGTAAAATGATGTATTATCTTGTATTAAAATTAGGATTGCTGGATTGCTGATGAGCACTTAATGCTTTTTGAAGAGAAATTTCTCCAAACATAATAAGTAATAGGACAGAAGTATATTGCCTTAGGCTTAAATATTAAAATGATGTGTAAAGAAAATCTTGTATAAGTGAGCAACTTGTGACATTATGATTTAGAAATTATTCCACTCCAAACATGGATCTAAATCTTTATTTTATGTAATTGTCATTTGTTTTTATTGACCCTCATTCTAATAGAATATGAAGCTGGATGGGACCTTGGATATCAATTCCTTTTTATAGATGAACAGACTGAAGGCCTCTTTCTCATTCATTCATTTATTCAGCATTTATTGAATACTTCCTAAGTGCCATATATTATCCAAGATGATGGAGTTACCATGAAGAGAATCTTTCTCCCCAGAAATGGACAGGGAACTAGATAAGCAAAGTATTAGTTTGTTTTGACAGGTGCTATGATGGGGTAATATTACCAAGTGTCTGGGGAGTACAGAAGAGGGCTGTTCAACTAGGACTTTGACCTAAGGAAAGACTTTCCATCATGGAAGGTGTTTCCACAATGAGCTAGTGACAGCCAGATGAAGAATGTCGTAAGAGCTTGTAGTGTATATTCAAAGCAGGAGGCATGAGGGAGCATGACCCATTCAGGGAACTCTGGGAGAGGGGATGGGAGGGACCGTCTGTGAAACCAGACATGATTAGCCCGTACCTGATTTATTATGATGATGTTCCGTCTGTTTTGGGGATAAATTATTTTTTTTTTGACGTTGGCTAGTTCACCCAAGTAGAACTTAACATCTGAACTATTGAAATATAGGTTGGTTTTTCAGGTGTTGCTCGGCTTTTGTTTTAAACTATATTTTTGATCCTGTATTCTAGGAATACTGAAATTCTGTTTACCTCTGCATTTAACAATGGATAGTTGACCAGCCTGGTAGTTCAAGCCACTGTTCTTGTGGATATTTGAGGGCTATATATCAAATACTGATCCCTTTTTCCAAAAGTTTGCAGTTTAAATACAATCTGTATGTAATTAAGGTAGTACAAAGTGCTGCAGGGGAAGTACTGGGGAAACGCTGTGGGGTCTCAGCATGAGCAGTCACTTCCATGGGTGGTGCCTGGGCCACACCTCAGATGGACAAAGTGAACATGGCTGATTCCCAGGCTTTAGGAAAAATTTTTTTTTTTTTTTTTTTTTTTATATTACCCAGGAGATTGGTTGCAGCTGGTAGAGAAACACTGATCTGTGGGAATTAGGGGGCTTTTTGGAGGAGGTAGTGTTCATGTTGGCCTTGAGAGAATTTAGGTTTGAGCTGAGCCTTGAAAGGAGTTAAAGGATTTGGGTGCGTGGGTGTGGCAGTAAGATGGTTACTGCAGGATGAAGGTTTACCCTTAGAAAGGGTAAAGGAGAGAGTGAGTGAGGTTTAGGGAAAGGTGATCACAGCCTGTGGAACATGAGGGAGGAAGTAGGAGAGTGCTTGAAGGTGAGTGCAGGAAATGCAGCTGGAAAGGCCATCAGGGTGGACACCAGGCTGAGTCCTTTAGGACCTCAGTTGATCCTCTGGAGACCCGCTGGGAAAGAAGGCTGTTAACTGCATTTCAGGACAGGGAAGCTGAGAGGTTAGATTACTGAGCTGCAGTTAAGCAGCTAGGAAGCGGGGAGGGTGGGCCTTGGTCCAAGATGTGATCTGTCTAGCCACGATGCTACACTGCCTCACAGACGGTCTTCAGTGGAAGCTTTAGGAGTTGGAAGTGTATTAATTTTTCTTGGATAATATGGGTAAATTTCAGACATATTTGAATTTTGACTTAGTTGGATATTCACTTATTTGTAAAAGCTAACTGGTTAGCTCCTAACAAATATTCAGAAAATCTCAAATGTAGATTTTTATACTAGCTTTTTAGTCTTTTAAGATAAATTTACATTTTTTTTTTCTTTTACCATGTCTTAGAAAAGACTTGAATACCTTTTTTAGGTTGTCTGTTTTTGTGTGCCACAGACATTACCTCATGAGGGATTTCTGAGACTCACCTTTCTGTAGAAGAAGCTCTTTTCAAATATACCTAAGAAAATCTGTTCTTTGAGAAAGTTAGAAAGCAGCTAGACAATCTAACTTCATTGATTGGAGGCTAAGGGTTCCCCTACTTGTGGGCAGCAATAATAAAACTGACAATTGATTTTGTGTGAAGTGTATCAAATGTCACTTCTAGAGAATTTTTTTTTTTTAACAAATTCTTTGCCTTCTAGAGGGAAGAAACCATCTTTTCCTAATACAAGCCTCCACCAACATGGGAATTATTTTCCAGTGTGATTTATGGCAGTATTCTGCTACAGATCACCTTCATTCTTTTTCCTGCCAGTTATGAGGGATAACTTGAAGGAATGATGTTTTCTTGTTTGTATGTTTTCGAATGATTTGTTAATCAACCAGCTACATGTGATGGTAATGACAGCTATTATTTATTCAAAGTGTATTTTCTCTTCCAGGAGCGTTTCCAGGCAGTTTACAAACATTTCATGTCAGTAATTCTTATAAAGACAAATTTGAAGCTCTGATGGACTCCTTTGAGTGGGGAGTAGTAACTGCTATCTCTTGTTTGTCCAGATTAGTTGGTTGTTTACAGAAAACACTTAGGATCTGCACTGTTGACTCTGCTGAGAAGAAAAATACAGTCTATGTTTTGCTAATCCATGATGAAAGACCAGGTCAGTGTCCCTGATATACAGTACCAAGTCCTGTGATATTGATTGTTATCTTGGAAGAACAATATATCTTTTTTTTTTTTTTTTAA